AAAACAAAATTAACGAATCTTATAACTGCAAAACTAAACAATTTAAAAGTTGAGGGCTGCCCGAAGCAGTTCGGTGCGATCTTGGAATATATCTCTTTGCTTCGCTATCATCAGCGACCCGATTATGATCAGATTGAAAATCTATTCGTGGCTGCCATTCAACAACGTAATATTGACCGAAAAGCCCCTTTCGAATGGGTGGATCCGAAAGCTGATGAATATATTCCTCATGTGAAAGAATCAAGTAAAAAACCGAGAGTGATGACAGCTACAAAGAAACAATTGACCAAAGAGATAGCAACAGCAGTAAGAGGTAAAAGAGAAAAACCAACATCAGAAGTTGAACAACTAGAAGCAACGTTAACTGAATGCGGAATAGATACAACACAACGTACGTAACAATGCAAAAACGGATACACATACTTGTGATACAATACAATATTACAATTAGGTATAAAGGAGCAAGAATGTAAACTGTATTAAAAGATAAAAGTTCTTCAATTAAACATACTATTAAGGATATGCAAGACGAATATAAATTTTTCTTAATGATACTTTTTTGCACTAAGTAAAACTTAAATGCTACCTCAATCTTCAATTCAAAAAACGGAAAGGCGCAGAAGTTCGAAATAATTTGCCCATTTAATTTTTGAACTATAACATAATCCAGCAGCTCAAATATAACATTTACAAATAAGATTTTAAATTTCGAAAGAAAAAATCAAATCCTCAAAAAACGAAGTATCCTAAAATAAAAAGTTAGGTAGTATTGAAAAGAAAAAATAAAAACCATCACATTTTTTACTTCAACAATATGATACCGTGACTCATTATTGTGAATTATCACTTTCTTTTAGCTTGATACTAACTGCGGTAGATATACGTTCTTGAAATGTATACATTAGAATTCTTTCAAAGGTATAGCTTCCATCCACAAATATTCCTCAAAATTTTTTATGAAAATGTCAGTCTTCATCAATGATATCTTTGCAAAATTATAAAAGGTAAATATGACAAATTAAATTTAAACCCGTGCACAATTAGATGGATTTATACCGTCAGTGGAATCTATTTGTTCTTTTTTTTCCAATTCTTCACTACCTTTTCCTTTAATGCTCTCACTTTCGAACGAACAGTATAACGAGAGAGAGAGAGAGAGAGATTTTCCGAAGAAGACATTCAGTCGCTCTGTTCCCTTCCTTTCAGAAACAGTACACCCGAGATTCATTGTAAAACATAGTCCACATAAGCAATCAGCCTCATCTCTAAATTCAGAAATGTTTAGAAAAAAATGAGTTCGAAACTCCAACAAACCTCGATAATTTGATAAACAAGTGGAAATTGAATTTAGAACTCATCATGATGAGTCAAGCTGTTAATGTATGCAATCGGACTAGGTTTGTTGTCATTAGTCTATTAATATTTGTTCAGTCCCGACCTGTCGTCAGCTAAATACCGGTGACCAATCGAATGGTTATCGTTTTTCTTAGGGATACAATTATTCTCTTTTCATTCACGCACGTATCTCACCCAGTTAGCTATGCTTCCATCACTGCGACGATATCTGTTTTAAGAATTTATTTGACGAAAAATTCAATCTTCTACATGGTGACAAAGTGATAGGCCAACACCTTTTGCTGAATACAATAATCTCGTACACTGATAGTTTCAAAATGGCAATCCATTGCGAAGTGATCGATGTTGGTCTTTTTCACTGTTCTAATTTCTCAATAATGTTTAAATTTGTTACTCCATCGTCATTATCGGTAAATGATTGCAAATGCATATCACTGATTCTCGGCTATGAAGGACATAACCATTCCCTTTCTCTACAATAATGATATTTATCTGTCCATGTTGCCTTAGAATTTTATTTCTTGCAGTTTAATTTAATCCCCTCAAAAACTTCTTTCGAAAAAACATGTCTGTGAAGTGGATGTTTTTGCTATGGAAATATTTTACATCATACAGAATAGGAAACGACATTGAAAAATTCAAACGAGGAAAATGTCATCCTAACAACTCATTTTTACCAGGCGGATGGAGGCATTCCATTTCGAACTGAATTAAATTTTTGAAATAAATTACTTATAATAATACATAATACCCAACAATACAACCCGTGTTCTAAATATACTTCATCCACTGTTCACTACTAAAGGAACGAAAAGAAGAGAATAGAATAATAGTAACTAATTGCCTAAAATAATTTTTATCATATTCCTAACACATTAACAATAACATAAGTTTGAAAAAAGAACTATTCACTTCTCCTTAACCGATGAATCGAATAATGCTGTTGCGCTTGTCGTAGTATTTATCTTCATGCATACTCCGTGGATCTTTTCTTATTTCAGCTTTTTTCAAACTATCTGAAATTTCAATGAGTTTAACCAACATAGCTTAATGCTTCAAACTTTATCATAACACATGTTAAGTAAACAAAAGTATTTTCTAATTGCACTGAGTGAAGGTGCAAATTAAAAAAAACGATCGTGGGCAATCAAATTCAAACAGAAATTAATAACAGGTTTCTTTCTTTATAAAAAATAAATTCATTACATTTTTGTAATTATATTGATAGAATGAAAAGAGCAGGTAGACTGGTTGATAAACCAATAATTCCATTTAAAATTATGGAAGAGTTAGTTCGATGGATTTAAATCACTACTTTATTTTCAAAATCAACCTCACCTATAATGAGGTAATAAATTACACTTGTAGACTGTAACATTAATAGCAGTAGGCCTATGTAATTCCTGTTTTTTTACAGAAAAACATTTCATCCAATATATTCGTAATCATAAAAATATATGCATGACCGTACGCTATATGTATGTTTTAGAGTGATATCTTTCAAATAGTTCTTAAAAACGAATTCGGAATGTAATAACAAAAGTTGGCTACCTTTCTGCTTAAACGTTAAAGCCAAGAATATCAATAGCAGTAGACTTATGTAATTCTGTCTTTTTACAGAAAAACATTTCAGTAGTTGCAAATAATATAATATCACGTCACTCCAAACGGAACAGTCCATGAAATGTGCAACCTGAATGAACAAACAAAAAGCAGTCGCTCAATAATATTAAATTGTAAACAAATATCAAAACAGAAATTAAAATGAAAATTGAATGAAAAATAATGGAAAATATTCTCATAATAAATCATTTATTGATTTCATCAATTTTTTCCCGCACTATCATTGTAGTCATCAGTGCCAACAAAAGAATGAAATTTATCTTATCCATATCTCAACCCACCGTTACAATCTTACACCGTTAAATAAATCCAATTTCAATCCTTTACACACATTCATCAAAATATGACGTGACGTGGAATTGATTTGTCGCAGAAAAACTTCCAATACATCTCGGGATGTGTCGGGATGTGCTGGAAGCAATCCATCAAAGGATATCGATGCAGTAGGAAATGAATAGGTGTACTATCCCAAATTTATCACCAATTTCTTTTACCGTCAATTTTCAATCCTTTTTATATTCAAATTTCTTTTTTTTTGGTCACATCATCGAAGATAAGAATATTCGTTTTATATATCCTTCACTCTTTAAGTTTAGTGAATTTCATTTAGTGCAATGTGTCAAGCCTTAGGCCAGCAATATTTCAAATGAAGATCATGCAAAGCAAGAAATACCACCAAAGGAAGTATTCAAGAAATTGTACCTCCTGAAAATTTCCCGACCTCCACCTTCCCTCTCTTGACCTCTCATTCAAATTTGGCCCCAAACGGGCTGACTGGTATTTCGCGGATTGGTAAGCTGCTTTTCTCGTCTTTTTTAGCGGGACTTGTAGTTGGAGTGAGGAAGGCGGTGTGGTTCTCGGACTGCTTTTTTTCCGATAGTTTTTGATTAAGTTAAATTTGTAGGAATTTTCAATGTTTTTCTAACAATGAGTTCTTGGTTCAATTCGGCTAGGATGGAACATTTTGATAGAATGGAACACAGATGACTGACTTAGCCATTTTTATCGGAATTCAGAGTTCCAGAATTGCAGAGGCTGGGATTTTGCCTCTTTATGTTTCCCTTTTCTCTCTTGTCATTAACGTATTTTTGGGATTTTTTACGATGTTTTATCATGTATGTTTATTATTAATCAATTTACAGAACAAGTTCCATATGGCCATTGATGATTCAGTGCCGGAACGATCAGAGCCTGAGATGACGGTTATGGTGAAATGTAATGGTGATGCAGTTTGTCATCCAGATGAGGAAACGGATCTTTCTTGTGGCTCACCGGAAGCGGTATGTTTGTATTTGGTCCAGTTTCTTTATTTATTGTTGAATTGCGAAATTTATGTTTGTTTTCAGAAAATTGATACTTTAATTCCTAGTCATCCGCTGAAATATGTTTGGACGTATTGGTATTTGAACGATCAACGCGACAAAAGTTGGGAAAAACGACTTAAAGTTGTGTCTAACTTTAGTACTGTGGAAGAATTTTGGGCGTAAGTCTTTTTTACTATCCTTTCAATTTTATGTGTCTCTGTGAATACCATATGATAGACAAAGAACTACTAACCTACCTAACAATTATTAACATTTTGCAATCGTTGATGTTCTTGTAGTTTCTTCTATCCATATAGATCCTTGAACTCGTTTCACTTTCTCCTTATTCGGAATGGCTGGTTCAGAGCATACAGAGACATGAGAGAATTCATTCAGGCATTAGTTTCATTATGTGGAAGAGGTTTTAATGACTTTCTGGAATTAAATCATGAATGAAAAGTAGGAATTGAGAAATGCAAAAACATTTCGAGTAGACGTTGTTATAATTTAGGATACGGAACGGATAGTACTTTCTCGTTTAACAAGACCAATATATGGATTTCATAACCTCCATAAATTTCAGTCTTTATGTTAATATTCGTCCACCGTCATTATTACCAACCGCTTGCGATTATAGTGTTTTCAAAAAGGATATTCAGCCGATGTGGGAGGTTCCGGAAAATGCCAAAGGTGGTCGCTGGTTGATAACGGTATGATTTGATTTCGTTATAATAGCATGTATTATTATGTAGAGCTACACTAAATTCTATTTAGATTATTCTAATGTTTTTGGACTTTCTGGTTCGTAATACCATGACTTATTTAGCTGTGTATTGTGTTTACAGATTGACAAGTCTAGGCATCATGACCTGTTGGATGTGATCTGGTTGGAAGTGCTGCTGGCTGTGATAGGCCAACAGTTCGGTAAATATACGGCGGACATATGTGGCGTAGTTGTCAACATAAGAAATAAGGGGTCCAAGGTAAGCTTTTGAATTCATTTGAGCTTGGTTAGTGGTTAATAAGTCAATATTATTTTTAGATCAGTATTTGGACAACAGATTGTAACAACGATGAATCGAATTGCAAAATTGGGTAATTTTCCTCTTTTTTAATATTTGTTCTTTGAAGATAAATTTTAGTATAAGTGATGAAGCATTCATTGACAATATACTATGTTCGCGTGCAGTATTTACGATAAGTTAAAGAATAATTCACTACCAGATAAATCGACTGTTGTTTATATTATTATGATAATATTATTAGCTGCGAAAGTCACGTTGGGCCATCAATTATAAATACTGTTTTTATGATATGAGAAAGGAAATTTGATTACCTAAGTGAGATATTTTGTAGAGAAATATTGAAACAGAAATTGATGAACCCGGATATTGATTCGAAAATTCAGCGACCAATATTTGATGTACTTCGCTATGAGGATCACCAGGAAGTGCAGAACAAAAGTTCCAGTTCGGTAAAAGCCAAACATATTATTACGGCTTCCGATTAGTAATGCACTAAGCCTTATACGAAAAACATGTTTTATCTGCGGGTTCTCTATTTTTGTTTTTCTGTGCTGTTAATGGGAAATTAGAATATGTATTTGTGACGTGTGCAAAAATTGTTTGTATCTTTCAAAGAAGTTAACTCTTTTCACTTTCGATAGGCTCATCAGATTTTATCTTATTTAAAACTCGGATGTGATTTTAAAAAACTCATTATGAGAAGGAAATACATTGTAGTGGTTAGAGATCTGTTCAGGCAAAAGACAAGTTCAGATTATACCAAAAAGAATGAGCGTAATTCCATGATATTAGATTATGGGAACTGACTAGATGAGAAATAGCGAGCGTGATATATATATATATATATATCTGTGTGTATGCGTGTGTGTGTGTGTGTGTGTGTGTTTGGATGAATGCTCGTTTTGGATGGTTTTAGACGGAATGTTTATTAATTATGTTTGTTAATTAACTTTGGTGAACTGTTATGATAATGTATTTTTAAAATACTTTTGTTGTGACATATGATGTAACGCAAAGCATTAACAGTAAATGTTAGAATGGATGGGTTGAATGTTATAAAAGGATTGTCACCCATTGGATGAAATTATGATATATCGTACTTTTGATACTACGAAGAATTCATATTTCTCGTATTTTTATTATGATAACGATTATTATTATTGCTGTTATTGATTTTTTACTCTTATTATTTTTACTAAGATATTAATATTAGCTCATTTATTTCGGAAAAGGAGGGGAAGGAAATTTGATACAAGCAAGATTCATATCTTTCTCGTCTTTATCTTTGCAAAATTTTGAAAGTGTAAAAGTACAGGGCAATAACTGCACTCCTTTCTTGCTGAAGTGCCTTTCTCTCTCACATAATTTTACTGTTTGCTGCCTTTTTTCCCTTTTTTCATTAGTATACTGTGTTAAATACTGCCATCGTGGTCGTTTCCTTAAATGTGAAACGAAGTACTGGTTTAGCATCATGCTATAATATTCTTCATGCAGAGTTGCACTAATTTTGTGTATCCGTTTCAGGCAACCAATCGTCCTTAGAATCTTGCACATCATGCTATGATATTATTTCTTGCTCTCAACATTTAAAATTATTTATTAACATACATTGTATTGAGATTTTAATAATCGGTATCCTAATAGGTGCATTATTATGTAGATGATAGGTGCGTATGCCAAAGTGAAGAATTGTGTACTAATTTTCGAGAAACAAGCCAAGAAACTGCAGAGTGGAGATTGAGCATTTCGAACTATTTTGATGAATCATGAACTAGGCTAATTCGGAAAGAATGGGCAGTTACTGTAGAGTTGAATAAATCGTCGTATTTTTAGCAGCATGTCAGGTGTGTGGGATTTTCTAAAACGACATCGGGGCAAGATTTTTGTTGGAGCAGTTGCGGCTGGAGGAGCATTCGTTGTTCAACAAGTTTGGCGAAATTCCTCGCTACAACTTAATTCTAATTGGAACCGTGATACAGAATTTAGCCAGACCCAGCTAAAGGTTGGTGAAAACTGTCTTGTTTGAATTATTCATTTCTCTATATTTTTCAGACATTTTTTTTGCTGATTGGATTCATCTTGCTTTAGTGAAATGTTTTGTATATTGGGGCTGTACATCTAATTCTAATATTGTGCAGGCTCGTCGGCATTACATTTACGATACTCAACATCGAACATGTGATATTTCAATCCTAGAATTGTTGCCTGGCATTGCTAAACGAATATCGTTGCATTTTGATGTAGAAGCATTGATTGAGGATCTTAAAAATAATAAGGAACTCAGCAAGGAACAACGAATTATTCAGTGGCAAGATATTAAGGTATCATTATTATTGTATAGAGACTACGCTTTATTCTTTCAACGGACATATTTGCACAATTTGTTATCGTTCGTCAAATTGAAATTAAGATGACAATGGCGCAGATGAATCACTGTAAGCTTCTGTGCATTTTAGTATAGAGATGAGGTCTGTTTTATAGGGTGAGTAAACGGTCCATTTGAAATATCGATCGATCTTTCTGCAATTTTCACTATATTTTTTTGTGTTTTTGTAACTTTAATGATTTATGGGACTTAACCCTTCAACACATGAATTAGGATCCTTGTCGTTATTAAAAAATGATACGTCAGCATTTCAGCTTTAATTGTCTCTGCAATACTGTACAAAATATATGATTTTGTAAGTACATTTCTGTCAACCCTGCGATTATTTTTTTATAGGTAAAAGCAATTGGACGAATGGTTGCAGTTGCCTATGCATTTTCTCTAATTACTGTGACACTGAAATGTCAGATTTCAATTTTAGCTGCTCAACACTGCTCACTGCTTATAGAAAACGAAGAAGATCACTGGTTATTGTTAACAAATCAAAATGTTTATCTCTCTAAAGAAAATCGTTGATTAACGCACTGAATATTTTGAGGGTACAGTGCCTCAGCAACATTTTTGCCGTGGTAGATTTGCTATGCCAGTGAAAACTAATAGATACGATAATAGGAAAAGGAACCTTTATATGAATACTGAAGCTTATATTATTGTTATTTCATCAAGCAAATATATCGAAAGTTTCAGTCAAAGTTACATTGGCATATTGTCAATTTAAACCTTTTATTGTTTAAGTTTATAGTCATCTTCGCTGATCGTTTTTAGGTGGAATCAATACTTACCTGAAAATCTTAAATTCAGCACTTCACTAATGCAACCAATTACTTCTCAAAAATGCGCTGTTGATCCGTCTTCACAACAAATTTTCATGAGGTGTTGCCAATTTTTCTTATCCACA